CGGTATAGCGCTTCTGCACCCGCTTGTGGTCTCAGTCGGGATGCTAATGGGGATTCCGTTGAACACAGGTAACTTTTCCAAGATTTGAGCATATACCATCTTTAGAAGGCATGCGGTGCGGGTGCCGGTTTAATAGATAGTTTTGCATTCAAGCGAAACTTTGCAAGCTGCACCGCAATTTGTCAAATGAAAAAAATAATAATGTTGTATTCAGTTATCGACGTGCTATTTCGACATGTCCCGGCCACGGCTAGCTTCATCGGCGGAACGTCACTTATTATATTTTCCTTTGTTCTCATCATACTTCCATATGAACTTATGTGCCGAGGGAGAGCTCAGACAACGCCTGAGAAATACGGAAATCCCATTATTCGAATGCAGGAACTACCGGATCATATCCAAGAAGTGTTTCGATCTCACATCAGTCACGGATCTGTGCGCCAAAATCAAAAATAGCCAGGTTTTTTGGAAATAAAAAAGTCGAAAGATATGCAATGAAAGACTTGTGATAACCTTTATTCTGCATAAGATCTTACTCTGTTAATCTTGCATTAGTTTCTTATCGTTAGGCTCTCTCTATCTAGGTATTTCTACCTCTAGACTGTTGTTAAAAATGATCTGATCCGTTCACTCCTAAAAACATCCAAGAATTCTTAGCGTCATTTGTAAATATTGTAGCACCCTGCATTTGCACTATGCATGACCACCTTTTTTGTTATTTCAAGCTCAAACTTCAATCGCAAGTTTCTGCTCTATCTATGAGTGAGATTGAGAGTCGTTGTATGATTATAACGCTTTTCTGGCACAGATATGTTGAGACATTTCGTTGAAAAATGTTTTGTTTTTCGAAAGTAGTTGTTGAATCTGATTTACAATTTATCTTATGGCGGATTTATGATTGTTAATAGATCATGAACGGCAATTGTACATAAAGCTTGCATAAACTCTATATGTGACTTCCTGTGTTATTTTGTTAGATCGCGAAGTCCAGTCTTGAATGAATCATTTTTTACGAATAAGACATAAATGGCAAACTGGAAGTGGGAAAAGAGTACAAAAAGGTCTGATATGATCATTTTGCGCGCCAGTCATCTGCATTCTAATGTAAGAAGAATTATCAGGATGTTTGGTCATAATAGTTCATGGTGGTTTTGAAAACGAAATTTTCTGGCTAGTAAGGGCCTGAAAAATCTGTGAAATTTCACCATACACTGGTTGGTTTTAATCTAAAAAAGGATATTCACGCATTAAAGCTTTCGGTTCTCCTCTGCTTGCGTTAGGATGCAACAGATACAATTTGAAAAGTGATATAACGTGAAAAGATCGCTTTTAAAAAAATCGC